GGGTTCAGGCAATTCTCCTGCCTCAGCCTCCTGAGTAGCTGGGATTACAGGCACGCGTCACCATGCCCAGCTAATTTTTTGTATTTTTAGTAGAGAACGGGGTTTCACCATGGTGACCAGGATGGTCTTGATCTCTTGACCTCGTGATCCACCCGCCTCGGCCTCCCAAAGTGCTGGGATTACAGGCGTGGGCCACCGCGCCCGGCTGGGAATCTATTTTTGGCTCTCTGTTTTGTTCCATTGATTGATATGTCTTTCCTTTTACTAATATCACACTGTCTTAATTACTATAACTATATAGTAAGTATTGGAATTAAGTAGGTTAAGTCCACCTTTGTTCATATTTTTCAGAATTGTTTTGGCAATTCTAGGTTCTTTGCACTTCCATATAACTTTTAGGGTAAGATTTTTAATGTCTGCTAAAGAGTTTACCAGGATTTTGATTGTGATTACATTTATTCCATAGATCAACTTGGAGATAATTGATATCTTAACAACATCTAGTCTTCTGATTCATAAACATGGCCTATGTCTCCATTTATTTTGGTTTACATTAATTTCTTCAGTAGTAATATTGTATAGTTTTCAGTATATAGGTCCTATACTTGTTTTGTTAAATTTATTTCCAAGTTTTTAATATTATTTGATATTATAAATACTATTAATTTTTTTTCAGTGTACAATTGCTTGTTGTTAGTACATAAAAATGATTGATTTTGTGTATTGACCTTGTATCCTGTGACTTTGTTACACCACTTATCAATTTTAATAGCTTTTTGATAGATTCCTCAGGATTTTCTATAAGCATTATCATTATCTGTAAAAAAAAAGACAGTTTACTTCCTTTCCAATCTGTATGTCTTTTATTTCTTTTTCTAACCTTGTTGCTCTGGCTATGAACTCCGGTAAAATGTTGAACAAAAGGTAGGGAGAGTGGGTATCTTCCCCTCACTCCCCAACTTAGGGGAAAAGCAATCAGTCCTTTATCATGAAATATTATGTTAACAGAACAGTTTTTGGTAGACGTTCTTTGTCAGGTTGAAGAAGTTGTCTTGCATTCCTGTTTTTATGAGAGTTTTCTTTCCATTTAAAACTATGAATGGGTATTAATTTTGTCAAAAGCTTTTTCTGTATCCATTGACATGATCATATATTTTTTCTTTTTAGTTTATTTATGTAGTAAAGGTTATTGCCTGATTTTTGAATGTTGAGCTTACCTGTGTTTCTTGAATAAACCTCACTTGATCATGATGTATTATACTTTTAATGTATTGCTAGATTTTAGTTGCTAATTTTGTTAAGCATTTCACAAGAGATGTTTGTAGTTTGCTTTTCTTGCAATGTCTTTTCCTAGTTCAGTATCAGGGGTACCCCTGCCTTCAGAGCAGCCTGCACACTGGCTCCAGGCAGTAAATTGGAGCAATCATAGAGCTTATATCATTTTTTTTTCCTTCACTCAGGGATTACAGTTTTCGGCTGTCTGTCATCTGATTTCTGAAAGCAGTTGTTTTATGTATTTTGTTGGCTTTCTAGTTGTTTATGGAAAGAGGGCAATTCCTATAGCAGTTAATCCTTTGTTGGAGGAAGCAGAAGTCTATTTCTTCCATACAATTTTAAAAGAACTTTTATTTATTTATTTATTTATTTATTTATTTATTTATTTTTTAAGATGGAATCTTGCTCTGTCACCCAGGCTGAAGTGCAGTGATATGATCTCGGCTCAGTGCAACTTCTGTTTCCCAGGTTCAAGCGATTCTCCTGCCTCAGCCTCCCAAGTAGCTGGGATTACAGGAACCCGCCACCATGTCCAGCTAATTTTTGTATGTTTAGCAGAGATAGGGTTTCACTATGTTGGCCAGGCTGGTCTTGAACTCCTGACCTAAGGTGATCCGCCCGCCTTGGCCTCCAAAAGTGCTGGGATTACAGGTGTGAGGCACCACTTCCAGGCTAAAAGACCATTTAATTGTTAGAAAAGTCTCTCTTAATTCCATACACCCTCTCATAACCTTTATTAATTGAGATGCCCTTCAGAGTCATACCATTAAGCTCAATCTTTGCATCTTGTGGCTGCTCTTCAGATATTTGCATCTCTGTCCTCTCCAGGCCTTCTTTCAGATGAATCATCCTCAGTTACTTGAGCTATTTCTTTGACTGAGCTCCCAGATGTTTTATAAATCTGGTTATGTTCTATTTTTGTAAAGGTTCTTCTTAAAAATAATGGTGCATATAAGGGCATGAATAGACAATTCTCAAAAGAAAATATACAAATGGCCAACAAACATGAAAAAAGTTCATTACTAACCACCAGGGAAATGAAAATTAAAACCATAATGAGATATCACCTTATTCTTGCATGAATAGTTATTATTAAAAAATCAAAAAATAATAGATGTTGGCATGAATGTGGTAAAAAGGGAACATGTTTCACTGCCGGTGGGAATGTAAACTAGTACAACCACTATGGAAAACAGTATGGTGATTCCTTAAAGAACTAAAAGTAGAACTCTACTATTTGATTCAGCAATCCTACTACTAGATATCTACCCAAAGGAAAAGAAGTCATTATATGAAAAAGACACAGGCACATGCATGTTTATAGCAGCACAACTCGCAATTCCAAATATATGGAACCTACCTAAATATCCATCAACCAATGAGTGAATAAATAAAATGAGGTATACATACCCCATGAAATATTACTCAGCCATAAAAAGAAACAAAATAATGGCATTTGTAGCAACTTGGATGGAATCAGGGACCATTATTGCAAGTGAAGTAACTCAAAAATGGAAAAGCAAATGTATGTTTTCACTTATAAGTGAGAGCTAAGCTATGAGGATGCAAAGATATAAGAGTAATATAATGGACTTGGGGGACTCAGGGAAAAGAGTGGGAGAGGGTGAGGGATAAAAGACTACACATGGGTGATGAGTGACACCAACACCTCAGAAATCACCACTAAACAACTTATCCATGTAACCAAAAACCACCTAGTTTAGTTCAATAGTTCCCAAAACTACTGAAATAAAAATTTTGAAAAAGAATCTTATTATAAATGTAAAAAAAATGGTACTTAGAGTTGAATACAGTATTTCAGATGTCTTCAGACTAACACAAAATAACTCATCCTTTTATACACATGACAAAGTAGTCACCATATTTTTAAAAAGCCTCTATCAAAAAAATGAAAGCAAACAATTAAAAGGTAGACTCTAAACTTTTAAATTTGATTACAAATTTCACATTTTTAAGGGGAAATGTGACGATATCACTAACCTTCAGTTTTCAAGCCTGTAAAGATTTCTGTTTAAATGTTGGTTAAAAATGGATCATGAGGTCAAGAGTTCGAGACCATCCTGGCCAACATGGTGAAATCCCAACTTTACTAAAAATACATAAATTAGCTGAGCATGGTGGCGTGTGCCTATAGTCCTAGCTACTTGGCAGGCTGAGGCAGGAGAATCGCTTGAACCTGGGACACGGAGGTTGCAGTGAACCAAGATTGTGTCACTACACTCTGGCCCGGTGACAGAGCGACATTCTGTCTCAAAAATAAATAAATAAATAAATAAATAAATAAATAATTTGTTTTGAAAAAGACACTTTACCTTTAAGAAATCATTCCTGCAGGGGAGCACTACACACTGGGGTCAGTTGGGGGGAAATAGTGGAGGGACGGTAGAGGGTGGGGAGTTGGGGAGAGATAGCAAGGGAAGAGATGCCAGATGTAGGTGATGGGGAGGAAGGCAGCAAATCACACTGCCACGTGTGTACCTATGCAACAATCTTGCATGTTCTTCACATGTACCCCAAAACCTAAAATGCAATAAAATAAATGAAA